AATTAATTTATAATGCCTATTTCTTCTTATTAAGAGCAGTAAGTGCACATGGCTTAGCAATTCCCAGACCTATTTAAAAATTAATGAGGTGAGAAGAGTAAATTCTTTACTTTGCAAGTACTTAGGGTGTTGTCAGGGAAACTTCTGGGACACAACAAGACCTCAAACTTTGGTTCAAGTGCTCTTTTCCCTGTATCATGCTGGTCTTCTCTGAGGAACAGCTTCTTATACCTGACTAGTCTAAAGTAAGATTCACCCCCCAAAGGTAAGATATGCTAAAGTAAGTCACTGTCTGTCAGACACCTTCTCTTTCTCCTCCTCTTAAATGTTTGGCTGGGCTAAAGCAAAGAGGGTAATCTCTGAGGTAAGGTAGGCCACGGCTTGAACACTGATGTGGAGAAGAGCAGGGAAGGTGTGAAAAGTTCAGAAGAATCTGCAAAGTTTGGGTGGTTAGGGGCTGAGGCAGCCTCAAGTCCAGTGCCAAAGTGCAAATGTACATAGCAGGATGGTGGTATGAAGAGGAGGTGTGAGGAAGCCATGCAGCACTACAGGCTCAGGGGAGAGTGGCTTGAAAGTTATGCAGAAAAAAAGGCTCTGGGGGTGTTGATCAATGCTTGCATGATAAGGTGGGAGCATGCCCAGGTGGCCAAAAAGGCCAACGGCATCCTGGCTTGTGTCAGGAATAGCGTAGCCAGCAGGAGCAGGGAGGTGATCGTCCCCTGTACTCAGCTCTGGTGAGGCCGCACCTCAAGTACTGTGTTCAGCTTTGGGCCCCTCACTACCAGAAGGACATCGAGGCCCTGGAGCGTGTCCAGAGCAGGGCTCTGAAGCTGGTGAGGGGCCTGGAGCACAAGGCCTGTGAGGGGCGGCTGAGGGAGCTGGGGGGGTTTGGGCTGGGGAAGGGGAGGCTCGGAACAGGCCTCATTGCTCTCTGCAACTGCCTGAAGGGAAGGGGTGGGGAGCTGGGGGTCGGCCTTTTCTCACAGATAACTACTGATAGGACCAGAGGGAATGGCCAGGGGAGGTTTAGGTTAGAAATTAGGAGAAATTTCCTCTCAGAAAGAGCAGTCAGGCATTGGAAGGAGTTGCCCAGGGAGGTGGTATGGCATCACGTGACACCTTGGCGTTAGCCTTGTTTAGCTTGTGCTGACTGACAGGAAAGTAGGAAAAATGTCTGATATGAGGTAGGTTTATTACAAGATACCTCAGATGAAGTCATATTTTTAAATGTAATTAGGAAGTATGATCTTATAAGTGCATGCATGTATTTCACTTTGCGATTTGAAGGAAATAAATTAGTCTGATAAAACAGCTGTTACTGGAGAGAATTGATTCAGCAATTCTCTTTCCCAGAAGTCTGTCAAGGAGCTTTTGGCTACAGCTTTGCTCAAAACTTATAGAGATATTGTAACACAAAATAGACCGGATAGGCAGAACTGGACACCCTAGATCAGGAGGGGAAAAAAGAAGGCAAAATTATAACTAAAATTACGACAAAGACAGTTGTAAGGTTCACAGTTGAATGTTTCTCCTTATTTTTGTCCCAGTTAATGGAAAAAAAGCTTGTCTTAGTTATTAAAAACTTATTCACAGTACAGATAATGTCTGCCTTTAGAACCCTTCTTGTGACTTCACACTTTGTAAACAGGGGGAAAATTTTTTTGTGTTATAAGGAAGTTCTTTTTGACAATTTTGCTTTCTGTTGTAAACCTCATAGACTTCATGCTTTCTTCATAAACTTATTATTTCCTGAGGTATTCATCCCATATGCAGAATGAGAACTGACTAAATTAAAGTAGGAAGTGGTTGTGTCGTTAGAATCCACCACAATGAAAATGTTTCTCCAGAAGACCCAATTCAGGTCATAACAGCTAACTTCACCGGCATAATCTGTTTATATAACTCCTGACTGGGCTACCTGAGTGTTTGTTGTTACCAGCAGCCATCAGTTCCCCCTTCAAAGCTTGAATTCTTTTTGCAGTGGACTTCCTTACTTTCCTTCCTTGGTAATTGTTCCACAACTGTCCTCCTGAAGCAGAAGCTGTTGCTTGAGGAGGGTGTAGCGATGCCAGCTACCTTTAGTCATCAGACAAATGAAGTGTATTTATGTAATCACTACTTTTCTACATTGCTAACTTTCTTGGATGTTGAAAACTTTTCTGATGTGACTTTTCTAGACATGGACTGTTGAATTCATTTGACAAGTCTGAAGTTTGTCAGAAGAGTTTGACATTGTTCCTCTTCCTCCTCGTCCTCCCCTTTGATCCAACTCTTTTTCATGGACTCCTCCTGGGGAAATGCAGATGCTCAGGTGCAGATGCACCCTGGCAGGTGGGATTCTACAGCAGCTGGGAGGTGGCTGTGTCCTCTGTCACACTCGTATTTTTGTTGAAACAGGTCTCCGTTAGGTGTTGGTCTATTCTGTTGAAATACATAATATGTTACCTAGAAACTCAAGCATCTTTCTGATTATAAAGCATTGTGACCTCTATTATCCTGAACTTGGGAGGACATTAGGAGCTGAGACTAGGAATTTGGAAATTCTTGTGTTTTAAGTGTATTTGTGTACAACAGAAAAGCCAGTTTGGTGGGCTGATACATTCCCTGAAGTATACCTAAAGATTCTGTCTGTAATTTTGAGTACATTTTGATAATCTGTGTTACAGTAAAGGTGTTTATAACTGCACAAGGAGTGTCTAAGAAATCTTTTCACAGAATCACAGAATTGTAGGGGTTGGAAGGGACCTCAAAAGATCATTGGGTCCAACCCCTTTTGCTGGGACATACCTCAGAAAAATGTGTATGCCTATGCTCTCCTTAGTATGTTCATGGTCTTCTTCTCTAGAGTTGGAATAGTCCTCAGATTAAATGTGAAATTAATATTGTTTAGAACTAGAAGAAAAAAAAACAAAAAAAAATAGAGCCTGTATGTTAGTTAACCTAATGCTAATTAGTAATGCCTGTTTCCCTCAGCACATTACTCTTTTTCTCTTGAAATTTTTTATGTGCGCATAGTTTCTTGAATCTGTGTGACTGCTGCAATCTAAAATGAGGTGACATGGAATTGTTTTTTCAAAGGAGAAAACTTGGTACTGTGGTACCATGGTACCAGAATGTATTTTGAGTGTGCTATATGTACTCATTCTCAAAAGTAATACACTGTAACATTATTTTTGAGGCTGTCCTTTTTTGTTTTTTTTTTTGGCTTTCCATAGTCGATCTCTGTATACCTGTGCTCATGTTCTGAACAACCATGGGGTGTATGAACAGATCTTTAAGATGAAATGATTGGCTATTTAGTTTGTCGTCTTCCTCAAGAATAAGACAACACAGTCTGACGGTCTTTCAGAAGATGCTCCCTGTAACATATCCTAGCTATTCTGTTTGTTCCTGTCTCTTGACAAGCCAGAAAAACTCACTGGGAACAGCTGTAGACTTGGTTATAAACAACTTTTGCCTCTGTTTGACCTTCTGCACAATAGGAGCTTTTAACAGTTGCACAAGACAAACCAGTCGAGTTGTAAGATGACAACGCTTTATAAGCCTATTGTTGATGTACCTAACTCTTGGAGTAAGTTGAGTTCAATAATGGTTTTTTGTATGCATAGCCAACGTGTTAACTCTGTATCTGCTGGATTAAAGCATAATGAAAATAAGCTGCTTTAAAATTTACCCATGATTTTTCAGATTGAGGGCAATGGCGATAACAGAAAATAAAATTTTCCTGCAGAAGACCATAAATAAGTGCAATTTATTAACTCCTTAACACCATGTCACATGCTGATGTATTTTTAATTGCGTAGTGTATGAAAGTTCTCAAAACTTGCACTTTCAACAGTTAATTTGGATGCAAGTTATTTTGGATCCTCTAGTTCTTTTGGATGCAAGTGTAGTTGTAATGGCACATAGTTTCAGCATGTAAAACAACCTGAAGGAAGGACAAAAAGTTTCTTCAAACACTTTACAATGTGCTCATCACAAGATGGTTGTATTTTTTCTGTTGCGGTTCAGAGTTTTGTATGTGTTGGCAGTTATGAAAGTACAGGATATCTACATTCTTTATTATTTACAAAAATAAGGGGGATATTTTTTTTCCTTTATTTAGAAGTGTGTGAGCTTTTAAGAACATGACTTGAGGAAAGCACTGCAGAAATGTTACTATTTAGGAATATTTCTGAGATAATTCACGATGAAGGTTCTCTTATGAAAAACAATTTAAGTATTATTAAAGTAGTTGTTGGAATATTACCAGGTCTGATACCCTAGTAAAGAAAAAGGAACAGATTTTTTTTTGCTTTATGATATTTTATTTTTTCTTCAAGTTTGGTTTTATTTAAAAGTAACTCTCTATGTTTTAAACTGGGGAAATTCCATGGTGTTTCAAAATACACAGTGAAAGATTTAGGGCATTTTACGCGTCTGTCAAGACATGGAGACAGAAGGATCAAGAAGGGTTGTACAGGACTATTTCTAACATTTCTGATGTCCTCATCTTGGTCTGGTCTTCAGGCTGAAGGTTGCACCTGATGTTTAGATAGTTCTGTAGCTTACAGTGGCGTTCCTGCAGTTTCTGTGCCAAGTCTCCAGGTGCTACCCTTCTTTCATTCTCTAAGCCTTAGCCATTTCAGCTTGTCTTCTCAGAGGGTGCTTCACAGCCAGTTTGCTTCACTTCTTCTGATGCTGAGAAATGTTCTGTGAGTTTTCTGAGCCCCTCAGCCAAGGTGAATTGTGATTTGTTAATGAAAAAATTAAAACAGTTTGCACTGATCATTGAACAATTTTATTTTCAAACGACTTTGAAAGAAAATAGGGCTGTATTTCTTGGATAGGCATTTTGCACTGCTCTGGAGCTTTTCTGTATGGATAGTCCAACTCTGATTACTTCAGAGTTTCTGTCTAACTGGGTTGCTATACTTTGAGGTTGTCAAATAAGGAGAGGATTCAAAGAATGCTATGCCTTTAATTCTATCACCTTTAATATTATTTTTCTCCTTTTAAAGTCTAGGGATTCTATCAAGCTGGATGACCTGAAAGCAGAGGTGTCACCACGTATTTCAGCAGAAGATCTGATTGACCTGTGTGAGTTGACGGGACCTAGTCATTCCAAAACACCTGTAAAGAAAACAAAGCCTAGCAAACCAAAGCTGCTGGTGGTGGACATTCGTAACAGTGAAGAGTATCCTTCAAATCCAAGTTCTGTTCTTGCCAAATCGTGCTTGCATCTATTACCTTCTCTTTGTCTTCAGGCAGTGTAATATTGGAATGGTAAAAAAAAAAAAAATAAAAAAATAAAAAAAATGGGAAGGGATGTGTCCAGGTACAGTGGAAGAACTGAAGGCCGATTTATTTTTTTTTTTGTGGGGAGTCCTGGTTTGTAGAGAAGAGTAGGGATGTATTTTTACCTTCACGCTTGAGGCTGTGGTTGTAATGAAGCCTCTTTGTACCAATAGCACAAGTGCTTTGATACCACTTGGTTTTTTTTTGTGATAGGTGTTGTTAGCAAACCTTCCTCACAGAACATAACCAGTATTTCAGAAATGTGGGAGACTTTCCAAGTTAGTGGAAGGGAAGTGGAGAAGAGTTGATAGGGACTGGCAAAGCACATGAGCTCAGTGGAATGTCAGTTTTCTACCGAGAGCCTTCTCACTATTGTCAGGTAATGTAGCCCAATGGCTGTCCTAACTTGTCATCTAGTCTGCTTATAACCAGCTTAAATATATCTTGAGGCTATATTTTTATCAGGATTGCTACATGGTCTACACCGTACTCTTCTGTTTTTCAAATACATAGTACTTCGTGCATGGAGGGATTTTTTAATTGTTTTTTCTGTACTGGCATAGTTAAAGGGCTGGATTCACTTGTTTTTTGGAAGGGGGATGCCTTCTTACCAGATGTGTTTTGTCAGGAACAAGCATGTTCATCAACATCCATCTGAAAGTGGGAACAATTACATGTTTTTATTTAAGGTAACTTTTAATGTTCTATGGGAGTACTGAGAATATACTTGTTTTATATCATTTTTTAAGTACTGCTCCTTTCATAATAGTAAAGGTGATGTAGATTGTTGCTTTTGCCGGGAGGTGTACTCTTAGTTTGCTGTGCAACAAGCTGTAATTTGTAAGGATCAAACAGTTCTCAGTAGAAAAATCATAAAAGAATCGGGAGTCTTAGTCCAACTTCTGCTTCCAAAAAAAGGAGGAGCATTCATATTACGTATGTCTGGCTTATTAAAGATCTCCAATGACAGATTCAGCCACTGGGAAAAAACTTTCCTGTGTCTGACAATAGACTGCATGTGTATGAGAAAAGAATAAATACTAGGCAATGAAGTGAATGTCCAAGAGTTATAAGCTTCCGTGCTTTCTAAAAGGAAAAGTACAGTAACTGTTAAAGCTCTTAGATGGATGATATTATTTCCCTCTAATGGTGAACGAATGCTAAATATTTGAGCTAAAGTATATAGTAAAAACTTAAATACAATTTTTACTGTGTAAATAGGTGTAAATATATTATTTACATAATAAAGAGGATAGTATAACTTGATTATTCTAGATAAAAACTCTCATTTTCAGGGAGTTATAACCTTATTGTAAGCCATACTTGAACCTGTAATGTGGTCTGCTGCAGCACAGATAAAACGAAGTGATCAAAGGAATACAAAAAAAAAGATTTTTTTTTTTCTATTGCTTGCATGTAGTTATTTCATTCATTAGTTAAGGTTTCCAATTAAGTAGAATGTCATCAGTCTGACTATTTTCTAGACTTCTGTGGCCTATTTTTCTCCTGGAATTAGCCTGTTGAAAATGTGGTTCTCCTGTGTTTGTTTGTTTTTTTTTTTTTTTGTTCTTTTTGAGGCTGTGTTCCAAGAGATCATTTCTCTATCAAGAGAAAAAAGTTTAAAAGAGAAAGCCCTGGAATTAAAAGCTCTAAAAGGTTATTGCTGCTGTATAAAAAGCTTTGATACTACTGAGTTAAATCATGTTTTTATTACAACATGCATCACTGTGGTGTTAATTATTTAAGCTGCTTACTAGAAATCATCAAGGAGAAAGCAGGTGGAAAGCAAGTAATATGAAATGCCTAGACTATAATCATTGTACTGAAAGACTATTATCTGTGTACAGTAATGGATTTATTTGTATTACAATCAAGATCAAAGGCAAGGTGCTTGTTTAAGTGTTTCTGTAGCCTTCCTAATAGCTTGATAATAGGTTTTACTCTACTGTTGTACTAATCCTATTCTATTCATGTGGAGTAGATTCAAAATTTCAATTATTTGGAAATCATTCGACTGCTGTGAAGTGGTTTTGTGAGGTAATTTTTCATACTACAAAACATCAATCAGTCTTTCACTTCATATTTCGTGAATGAGGAGGCATGCTGGAGAGAGAAAATCTCTGTAGTTCAAGCACATTTTAATCACTGTCACTGTTGTTTCAGCATGGTCGGAGTCTATGGTGGTAGAGTAAGGTGTGATTCACTGCAGAAAGACCTACTTCCTTCTGCTTGTAACCTGCTTTTTAAGTATTGGGTTGACTTGAATCTTCCAGGTGTTAGGAGGTAGGGAATGTCATTTTAGAAACACCAGCCTGGTCAGTAATGAAATTACCCCACAGATTATTTATTTTTTTATGTTAGTTGTAGAAGAAACTTACGGTGTATAGAACACTATTAAACTGGCATCAATTCTGAATATGCATACGAAACCATAGGAATAACGTGTTCACTGTTTTATTCTTGCAGTACCGAAACAGTCTTTGTCTTCAGAAACTATCAACAAACTGTGCAACAGGATCAGACAGGGTGTATTTTGCTGTGGTAGGTGTTTTCAAACATGAGAGACGACTTTGAGCCATTTCAAAAATATGATTGTTTCTTATGTTTTGTTGTTCATCTTTTTCAATATCTATGCCTGTCATGCTAAACTTCCCTCTTCCATTTCGGTTTCAGTGTGATTTGAAAAAAGCATGAGAGAACTTTCAGTAAGTATCAGACGTGATTCATATTTTGTATTAGGATGAACTTGAAAGCTAGAGTATTGTCTTATAATGAAGATCATATTACAAGACCAACAACTAGTGACCCTTTTTCCCTGTGGACAGCTTTGTAACAGAAGACTTTATAATGAAAAGGTGATATGCTCAAAGCAGTGTTTCTGGACAGCAGTTCTGTCTAAGCCTCATTTTATTAAGTATGTTAACAGAAATACTGTTGGCTTTTCATTCCTGCTATGAAAGTTATAGTGACATACTTTATGGTCTCTAAGTCTGTTACACAAAATCTCGGTCTTTTTGTTAGTTGGTAGCAGAATATTTAAGATGGTCACTTAAGATTAAGGAGAACATGAATGACAACTACGGTTTGGACCTATCACGTTGGGTGATAATGTTGGCAAATGTATTGCTTTTCTTTAAAAAAAAAAAAAAAAAAAAAAGTTAAGTTACTCTGAGCATTTAGGCACACTCAGTAGCATGAGCATAAGCTGCTAAGTATATCCACAGACACATTCTGTGTAAATAAATGTCATTTCACACCTTTTACCCTGGTTAGTAGCTATTAGAATGATACAGTTACAAATTAAGGGTGGGGAGGGATTTACCTGCACCCCTGAAATGGTGAAGGAAGGGATGTCATAATTTTCCTTTACCAAACAGTAATAAACTGATAATATTAATGGGTGGTATGTGATCATCTTTGTTGTTTCAGATGTTTTAACAGAGCCATGTTTTTTCCCACACAATAGTAATGATGAACATAAAGCTGAGATTTACAGAAATCACAAGAAGTGTATGCTAGTATTAACCTAAGTCAGCTAAATCTTACCTCCATTTAAGGCTGCTCCTTTAAAAACAGGAATTCTAAGATTTATAATCAAATCTAGTAGCTTTCTGCAAGTATGGTAATAAAGGGTGACTAATCTGGATATTTGACATTGTGTATATTTTCACAGAAGCTTGCAGTTTCCCAGCTCTTCAAAGCTTTTCTTATTTACTGTTGGGGTAGGAAGTATTCCATGAATGTGCATACTGTCTATAAAAGTAATTCACAGGTTTATTAAGGTCTTGACACTTTTTGGAAACTCAGTAAAAGCTAAGTAGTAGTGATCCAGCTGAATTTTTATTGAGGAGACTTTTACATTCATTACTTGTTCAGAAAATCTCACTGAACATCACCCTCTGAGAGTAAAGCACAATTTAACAACAGCTCAGCATTGCTGGCATTCATATGTTGACTGTTTTCTGTGTAAGACCCAATACATGCTCACTGCTACTGGGATTGCAGGTAAATATAAATGATGCCCTTTGGATATGAATCATAGGGGGGCTTGTGAGGAGTTGGCAGGAAGTTTAAGAAAATTTCCCAATAATCCCGATTTAGTAATGGTTCTCATTTTAAGTAAATTTGCATGAAACTCCTTTGGAAGGGATGCTTCAGCTGCTCACTGATATTTGGTTCCTGTGATTGGACTAGAGCAGCTGGATTGAAGTAAAACCCGCAGAAATGTACACACTGTGAATACTGGGTCCTTGGTACTGTTGCATGTAACAGATCAGTTCCTGTAGTGCCATGCGGTATCTTTTATGAAAGAAACTCTTGATTCTCTCCATTTTTCTATGTAGTGTCAGAAATTGTTTTGTCTCTGTGTAAGTAGCAACTGAGGTTTGTCAAAATATACCAAGACAAAAGACCAGCATTGTTGTATCACATCAGCCAGGATGAAGAGCAGGTTCATCTTACAACTATGCGCGTGCCACACATTTCTCTGCCTTTCAGATGTCCTTAACTGTTCTTCCTAAGCTTTAACCGTGGCCACATTTCTGGCAGCATCAATGTCCCATTTGCATCAGCATTTACTGCAGAAGGAGATCTCATCCAGTGCCCAGCAACTGCCACGCTCCAGAGCTTTAAAGGAAGAGTTGTGGTGATCGTAGGAAATGCAGTGAAGAACACAGCTGCTGTAAGTCTGTTGCTATAATATATATGTTTATATTTAGAAATACATCACAGGAATTAATGCATACAGTAATCATAAATATTATAGTCTGGATAATTTAGGCGTTAGTAACTGGGTATCACCACAGGATTTGGGGCAGGGAGTGTGATAGGTTCTGCTTCTAGACAGAAATATTTACAGTGGTCAACATCTGAGAAAGTTAATATTTTGAAGTGAATTATTTTGCATTTTTTCACCTTTAAAATCTTTATGTTGGAATGTTATGAAAGTGACATCACTTCTAACGTGCATCAGTAAGATCTATTTTTCAAAAGTGACTTGGGTTTAACATTTACTTTTTGCAGTGTTATTATACAAGGTAAGTAGGGAGCAACATGCATGTTGTATGTGAACTCCAAGGGAAATAAGATACAGTTCATATTCTCCACGTAAGAAATAACATACTGATTAATTTTATAGAATCATTTAGCTTAGGTAATTCTGCTCATTTAAGAGAAGAATGGTTCGTACAGCTGTCTTTCATATGATACTTTGACTAGATGGGGAGGATATTGGGATTTGCCTACTCATTTCTTTAAATTTTTAATGGTGTTGTGAACCAGCAGAATAATAAATAGAATTATTTCTGTTCCTATTCTTTGTCTCTGGTGAAGTGAACATATTTTACTGCAAAGGTGTGCTTTTAGGTTCAGTATACCTTTAGTTCACCACAGTCTCTTAAGCTTATTTACTCAGACGGCAAGAACTCATCTGCATAACAAATGTTTTGTTGTGTTTTTTATGCATATAGGGAGTTGTAAGTAGCATGAGAAATTTATTTCATTAACCTGTTTCATCATTTAGAAAATGAACATGTGATATATACCCTATTTTTTAAACAGTAGCAGAGGTGGTATAAAACGGACTGTACAGCACATCAAATGGTTTCAGTCCATGAGTATCTAGGTTTCTGTATTAGACCTGGGTAAGTCCATGATAAATATTTCAACGTGAAATCAATCAATTTGAATAATCACAATGGCTCACTAAATGCTGAATGCATAAATTGCCCCTCAGCGGAATAAATACAAAATGCATAAAATGCTAAGTGCCAAATGGAGATGATTTAATGGACACTTGACACCTTTGATGGTGGGCTATGCAGCAGCTTTCAATAATTACATTTTAAATCACTGAACATCCTAATTTATCTCAGTAAGAGTCTTACTGTTCGCTAACCTCCTGAGGAATGGGAACAGAAAAAACAAAATGCTTCCATTTTCAGTAATGACTGTCTTTATGGAAGATAACCCACATACTAGCAAGTCATTTTCTGGGAGTTTTTTTGCAGTCAGAAATGTTGAATCTGAAACAGAGAAACACTTTAAGTGTCTAGAACAGAATAAAGAAACAACCTGAAACAAGTATCTGTAGGAAAGGAAGGACAGAGGCTTTACAGTATGGGTTGTGGGTTACACTGTAGCTAAGAAGAGCAGATTTTTTTCTCATATAACATAGTGACACTTCTAATGCAATTTTGGATTTGTTTTAGCTTTTAAATGCTTCATTAAATGGAAAATCAAACATTTCCTTTGCTAGGCACTTCTACACAACTTCGTGTTCTTAGTGAGTCCAAGCAGTTCAGCCATGTGTAAGGAATATGCCTTATCATTAAGCAGTCTTGCTACATCTGAGACAATTGTTACCACGTTTGCATACAACTGTAAATATACATATATTTACAGTCGTGTGTGTGTGTGTGTATATACATTAAAATAACAACCTTAATTAAACCATGTTGCTAGAACTTAGAGGTCCTTACTTCTGTAAGTTTTTTGTTTGTTTGTTTGTTTTTGTTTTGTTTTGTTTTTAAGGCCAGTTTCAGTTTTACTCTGCACAGGTTGCATGGAACTGTCTGCTGCTATTCATGAGCGTAACCAATCCAAAAATACCTAGCTTGAGACTATACAAAAATAATAACTATTACTGTCTTGAATTTTTGCAAAGTAATCTAATAGTATGAATGTATGGAAACAAAAACAATATTATCCAAAATAACACTAAGAGATGTTCAGAATAAAATATATCTTTTCTAAACAGAATTATATATTTCCAGTTGAATATGAATTAGCCACAAATTTTTTCCTTCACCATAAAGGAGAATTTTTCAGAAGTGTGTTGACCGATATTTACTCTACTAAAAATACAGAGATTGGCACCTCCAAATGTGTTACTTAAATTTATGCAGGGCTTTGTGGGTGTCAGAATTATCCAAAAATATTATTGATTTATAAGGCTATTTGTAATTAGGAGACTGAATCTTTCAATTACATTTCATGCTTAGCACCATAGAAGTAACAAAAGAAAAAAGGAACATTGAATGTATTGAACAGACTTGCAGAAAACTCCTTTTGTTTCCATTTTCACACTTCTTTTCTGTCTCGTGTATTTGATTTGGTGCCAGATGATAAAATATTTAAATTGGAACGAAAAAACTGTCTAGAACTTGATAGGCAAGAGGGGAAAAGAGAAAACTTCCCAGTGGCCCCGCTCCAGAAGGAGACAAAGAAGCCAGCAGTGCCCCAGACTGGCTTTAGCAGAACACTTCCTTCGGACAGAATTAAAACAGGGTAATCCTACTTGTTAAGCAACTTAATTTACTCGCCTTGAAAGCTAAATGAATAGGTTGTCTGGTGCATGAGAACCTTATGAATGCACCGTTAGTAGCACAATGGTGTCGCAGAGAGGCACTTGCACTGGGCATGGTGCAGCAGTGCTTGGCAGGCGCTTGTGCTCTGCAGCACGTCCCTTCCTAAAGGCTGGTTCTCCCGTTGTGCTGGTCTTTCTTCTCCTGGGGGATCCCAGGCACTTGTTAGCAGAGCAGAAACTTGTTCGTCTCTCAAGACCATATAAAAGGTGTTATGCTTGAATTAACTAGCCAGATTCTGGTTTGATTGTTAACTTAAATACGTTAAGCAGCAGCATCTCTTAAGTGAATTAAATTCCCCTTTCCCACATCCACTGATACCAGTACCGTGAAAATTCCAATCCAGACGAAGAATCGTTACGGTTGGCAGTATAATGGTCAAGTGCTCAAGAGGAGCACTTTCTGTTTTGTTTTTGTTTTTTTTCATGCACAGCAAATAGCATTTTGGTGCTCATTAATCTGTCTCCCCTGACTTTTGTCATTTCTGAAATCTGAGATACAGTGTATGAAAAGGTAGATCATAGTTACAGACACGTAGGAAAGGCATTAGTTTGGGTTTTGGGGAAGGGTGACGTTACTTCTTCATTTCCCATTCCTTAGCCAACTCTGAGGTGGTATTTTCTGCTTCCATTTGCAACTTTTCTACTGTGTTATTGTGATGAAAACTGAAACTAGGATGGGAGAAATAACTTATCTGATATTAAGTCATGCTGCAGCAGCTCAGTTTTGACCCTGACTTGTTGCTTCTTGTGTGGTACAGTTAAGATATTTTTTTTTAATTGAAATGCTTTGATAGAATAAAGTTTATAGAACTCTAATATGTGTAATAACTAGAAACTCATTTATTTCTTGCCGTCAAAAAAAAATGCAGGCAAGCTGTATGCTGAAACTTAAAGAAATCTGTATAGTAAGCTAATGAATTCTAAATGGGAATGTTTTAACTTGTGATTGTTACTTTTGTTTAAAATCTGGGTAAGTTATGTTGCTATAAATAGATTGTCTAGACAATTTCTACAAGTCAATGAAGCAAAGTTGTCTGTCTTATTGTATCTCAGAGTAGCTAATAGTTAAAATGTATGAACTAGCTCCAAAGCAAAGGCAAGTGGTGCAGGATTTCCATGAGATCTTACTGACCTTTTTCAAGGCAAGAGGGAGAGGGTCAAGTTCAAGATTCTTTTTGTATAACACAGTCCTAGCCTGAAAAAAAAAAAAAAAAAACAGCAGCTCTTTCTATGGGGAAGTAACATCCTTCTCTAAATGTAGATTCTGATCTATTAACATAAAATCTTTTCTCTCACTTAAAAATGTTGGGTAAAGAAAAAAAGATAATTATTTTATGGTTCTTGGGTGACTGATACCAAAAAAATTTTTTTTTCTGCATATATAATTTAACAGTGAATATGAACTGGAAGTGGTTTGTTTGTTTAAAAAAAAAAAGTCCGGAGAATGTAAAACTAAAACGTATTCTCCATCCCCTCATATTTTTATTTTTTTTTCAATGTTAAAAAGCTGAATGCAGTAGAATATATGTTCAGAACCATATTGATGTAAAATAGTTCCTTGTGTTTGTGTACTTGTTCTTGATTGTCTCGGCACACTGCAGAGATGTGCTTCTTATTATATGAAGGCTGAGATGCATAGGTAAAAGTGTCTAGTTACTGCTGTGGTGATGTTTCGTTGTTGCCTTTTTTTTTGTTAAGACCTTTTAAAGATAAAGACCTTTTAAAGAGAAGCAAGTTCCTGCATGTTTGAGCTTGTTTCTTCTTATAAACCTGTCTTAAAAAACAAATGGAAACCCATGAGATTTCATAGGGTTGTCTGAAAACTAGGTGTCACGTGGAATACTAAAGGGCAAATGCATTTATGCTTCTGAAGACAAATACATGTACAATTACTTAGAAGGGCCCACTGAAAATTTTGGAGTGAAAATAAATAGAAATTAGACAATTAATTTCTTGAGATGTTTTCACTATCTATCTAATGTATTCTGAATTTCCTTGCAAATGTTGCTTAGCAGAAAAGCAGTTGAGGAAATGGGATGAAAACTGGAGGTATTTTCTCTTTGCAAAGAAGGAAGGGCTCCTTATGATTCCCAGAATGGCTCTTTCATCTGGTTGAGTTGTTAAGGCAGCACCATGCACTCTGGGTTTAGATTCAGAGCCTAGTGGCATCATCAGGTGTCTTTTTGCCACCTTTAAAGAAGAGATAGGCTTCGTTAATCAGCAGCAATCCTGCTGGTTGTGTCTCTACTTACGACATGCTAAATTATCTTCATTATTTTATTCTGTAAAGTCTGTATTTTGTTTAGTCTGGTTTT